AAAAGCTGATAGAATTGATCTTGATTGAACAGAGAAATCAGAATGTGGCTTAGGATGTTGGATGTTACAGTATTTATTAAACAGCGTGTAGATTCGCAGTGGATGAAAACTGCAGGCCTTGCAAGCATAACATGGTCAGGCACTAGTCTTCCACACAGCACACAGACAACCTTCTCTGTCTGCCCTTACTGGTGTAATTGATGGCTCACTGCACGCAGCTTGACTCTGTTACATCCACCTAAAGAAATTATCCACGATTGACAAAGCATGGGAGTGAACCAGGAAGTGTAGATGCAATTTGAAGGCTCGAATCAGAGCTACCATGTATGCTGCTGGGATTCAAAGCCTGAGCTCATGCCCATTTGGTAAATTATGCATGCGCAGAATGAGTAAAGATGGAAATACATGAAGCACATATGGATAAACAGTAGCTATTCCTTTACCCGGCTTTTTCTCTATGCTCAGTTTCACTCTGTAAGTGATCTGTAAATGTCCATAAGTCCTTCACAGAGATAAAGAGTCATTCTTTCAGCTTATTACATGCCAGGCATTATTACACTTTCTTATACATTGGACAGACTATTATGGGAGAAAGGGAGTTTAACTTGTGTAAATTAATCTCTTTTAATTCAGTGTGTTGCAAGTAACTTCACACACGCATCTTAAAATTAAAAAAAACACCTGAAAAGCACCGAGTCAATCATGACAAAGCAAGCTGATAGACTCTAACAATTTGACCTGCAAAATGGAGTATTGTATTGGAAACTCAGGGTAGCCATGAGAAATACAATAATCTCAAACAAAGGAGCAGATGCACAGCTAGTTTAGAAAATGTATTGGTTGAGCTTTGAAATCAAAATTAGCAGCAAAAGGAAAAGGTTCTTTACTCAGGAGAATTCAATTTATCCATTGTTTTAACATTTTGTGCCCTAAGCAAAAGCCACAGTTCTTTTTCTTCAGAACAGATCTGGCAGATTCCAGCCGTAGAGTCTGTGGTTTTCAAACTCAAGAAGCTGTAAATTTTATAACTCTGCGCCCTGCGGTCAGAGCTGCTGAGTGTTGTGTCTGAAGTCAGGTGGTTGGTGTGTTAAAGGTAGACATTAAACAGTTCTATTGAGGAACTGGAAATGTTTAAGGAGGTTGTTTGCCAGCTGTAAATTTGGGAGCAAATGCCAGTTGGCTGAAAAGATGCTGGAATGCATCCAGTTAAGTAGACTAGCACTGGAGGTCTTTCCAAATTTGTAGGTCTGATAACTTGGCTGTATATACAGACTTCAGTTATTGGGTTGTTAAGGAAGGGCTTTATAATGAATGTTTGAAAATATGATAGAAAACTTTTTATGTGCTCATTACTTTGTCAAAATTGCAACTTTGCAATAGTATTGCATTCCTGATGAAGACTTGGTTGAACATTACACAGTGTATGCTATTTTTCAGTGAGTGCCAGGGACTTTAAAGTATATAGTTTAGTGCCTTGCAATATTTTGTCTCCAGTACTTTTCCAGATTTTTTTTTTTTGCCTGTTTTCTATGTAGCTGGGATAACAGAGGAGGAAAGAGACCTGACTGTGATGCAGCTCTTGCTTTGCACGCATACCCAGTCTGCTGGGTGGGAAGGGGCTCTAGCTTTGGCTGCCGGCCAGGGAACAGAGGACGTTCACTCCACCTGCCTGCTGCAGTTGTGTCCTCTTTCCAGCACACAAGAAAGGGGTGTAGTCCAAGGTCTTAAAGGTGTAGCCCACCTTGCCTGGGGAGCAGGATTTACCCCGCAGGCACTCACTGAGCTGGCAGTTGCAAGTTTCTTGCATCACTGTGTAGTTGTTCTCTGAAGTGATAGATACTAACATGTCTTGTTGTAACTCGTCCGAGATTATTTGCTCTTCGTTCCCTTCACTCTGTTGAAGCACCAGGAGAATATTGCTGTAACAGGAGTAAAACTGGTTGCCACTTTTATCTTACCCTCCCTCTTCCGTGTTCTGAGTTCTGTTGTTCAGGGTGCAGTCATTCTGTTTCTTGCCTCTACTATCACAAAGCAAAGACCACTTTCAGAAGACAAGTGTTCAGTCTAATACTTTAAGATATTTTTATTAGAAAAGTTTTAAGCTTTACTCGTTTTTTGGCCCCTGACATAGCACGGTTTTATGACAGTTGTCAGAATCAAATTAGATGAGGGCTAACCCTTACACAAGGACAAGACCTCCTCCTCTTTTGACACATGACTTACTAAAAGGCCAGATAGAATTTCAGCCTCTGCACTTGAAGGAACACAGAACACCTACTGAAATGGGAGAAAGTGCGTCCTCATAGGACCATGAAAGAGGAAATCTGACTTTGACTGTTCATACATTAGCCAGATCTTTTCTAACACAAGAAGAAAATAAAGCTATTCTCTGAAAGTGTTTCTGGCTGCCCAATATGCTGAGATCTGCGCTAATACCTTTGACTCGTAGGACCTTCCAATGAGTAAAAGCGAATTAAATAATTTTGAGGTCTGGTCTGTAAGAAGAACCAAGAGAGGAATCGGTGTAATTAAAGAATAGTTTTCCAGGGCTCAATTCTTATTAGAGTTAATACACCCTATTTTTTTCTGAAGCACATGTTTGGAAACTTTACCCATTAGATACTTGTCTCAATTTGTCCTTAAGAAAAGGACAGTAGAGTGAACTGTTATTATTGCAACCTGCTTTTTCTAGAAACGCTAATGCCCGTGGGCTTGGGGTTCAAGATTCAAAGTGACTGTAGAACAGCTGTTGGAGTTTTTGCTACCAGCAGTCGGACATTTATATAGAAGAGATATTTTGCTTCATCTGAAGGGGCTGTTAAATCTTATAAGCCATTTACATCAGATAATGACGAATAGCCAAGGAAAAAAGAAAGGTCCTGAAAAAAGTTGCACTGGTAACAGTTTGAATAGAGCATAGTAAATAGGGCACAGAACGACACACCGCTGAATGAGCATAAAGAAAAGTATGGACACTCTGTAATAGGCTCGTTAGTCAGCACCATGTGCTGTGAACACTGAACGTGGTAGAGGCTTTCTGGAAACCAGTACGAGATCCAGGCATTCAGAGTGCATCTGTTCAGGGCAGCATGAAGTTGCCCAGCGGTCTCAATTCTAATGTTTCCTAATTTCCTAATTGATTTTAATCCTGTTCTTGTAAAATAGTTGTGATATATACATATATATACGACCCATCCCTAAAGCAGATACAGTAACATTATTTCTATCAAGACTATTCAGTAAAAATAGAGAGGTCTGTAGTCACTCTCAGATCTATTTCTTCCGTAATCTCACAGGTATTCTAAGGTGCTCATGAATTAAGCTTGGATGGGTGAGATGAAAACTTTCACATGAAGTACTTTAATTTACCTGTGCTTGGAGGATCTTCTAATCTGAATCCTCCAATGAGAAGGCACATACTTGCCAATTCTTTTGGAAGTATTTTGCCTTTTGCACCTAATTGCTATATTTTCAGTTTGGATCATTATTAAGGTTCACTGACTGAATTAAAATCTTTGGCTACTACGAATGGAAAACATAGCATCCGTTTTTCTTTCTTCTAGAAAAGTAAACGGTATGCAGTCCAGATCCTTCATGTGTTCAACATTATTGAGCTGGAGGTCATGTAAATTTGCTCTGAATTTTCACTCTCACGGGTAATTTCTGTTTTCCAATAGGTACATTTTCAGAATACTTTAAAACCCTTGGCTACGTTTCAAAATGCTATTATGTTTCTTGGTCTTAAACGACATAAATGCAAGCTTGTTGCTAATTTATGGAACCAGTCTATACAGAGATCAGTTCTCCCTACAAGGATTGCCTAAGCACTCAGGATAGACATTGTGTGAACTTAACTGCTGTTTTATTAATATTTTGAACGGTAATAATTACTATAGATTGAAATTTTACTTGAAATGCTAGTGCTAACCGAAAAGTGAGGTTAACTGCACCTGCTCTTTGTATGGCCAGATCTGTATTGGTGAAGAATTAAAACTTAGTAGAGCTCAGTAACTGTAAACTCTTGCACTTTTTCTATTAAGCATGAATATAAATGCACTAAAGACTGTTATTATAGTCAGCAATCACACTTTCTATGAATTTTCTAACACATTATGCTAAAATAATGAATAAAAGATTTTTCCAACCTCTTTTCCCTTGTAGACACCCAGGGATAGGTCCTCTCCTGGACTGAAGCTTTATCAGCTGAGGGTCTTCCAAACAAAATTTATCACCAGACTACATAAAGAAACATTTTTTTTTTACAAGAAAAAAATATCTATTTTACACCCTCAACCTCAAGAACTGAGGAAGCCACCTCTAACCACCTCTATTCCCACACAGCTATACTACTGCTTTGCTCAAGCTTCTTTCAGCGAAGCATTGAAGTATTTATGTCCTGCTTACTTAACGGGCAAAGGCCGCTCTTCATTTGTAGAAGGCACTGTGGAAGGACTTTGCTTACTAAAAGGGAGGAAATGTCTCCCACTGCCAAATCCTTATTCCGTCCACTGCACCGCCACAGGCAAACTCCAGTACCTACCAGTGAGCCCCCAGTGAACTCAGGGACCCATTTGTTAAGGGCCAGTTGCAGAGGCAGAGCACTGAGAGCTGGGGCAGGGGCAGTGACTAATACTGCATTGCCAAAAGTCTTTGGATAATATTTCACATCTACTGAAGGCATTTCTGCTTCACCAATCCAGTCAAATCCCTTCTGATTTAAAGGAGCGTTGTGCTGAACAATGTATTTCTGCACTCTTCTGTTATATGCCCTGCAGGTCTTAGTCTGACCAAAAGTTTTGCTGTTTAGGAATTACTTTGATGGTTTTTAGTTTATCAAAACATTAAGTCTCCTGAAAATTCTTTCACAAACATGGTGTGTATAAATATATTATGTGCGTATCATGTTTAGTTCATCTTCCTTCAGAATGACAGAATCCCTATCTTTTTTTTTAACCCCTCCCCCTTTTTTTTAAAAAAAAAACCCAATCCCCCCTCTGTAGATCCTGTTACAAGGCAAAAATCCTGGTATTGCTTGGGAATACACATTTTCCAAAACCAACAATGAAAACAAGACATCTGTGAAAACCCATAGCTACTCCTGGGTGACGGTGCAGTCAGAGTGCTCAGCTACTTGTGGTGGTGGTAGGTAACTTTCCAATTGCCAGTCCTCTTCTTTTCCACTTTTTTAAAGCATCTGAAACATTTCAGCTGCCTTTAATTTTGCAAACGTGTGTATCAATACATACAGGGTTTACACTGAACACCTGGTCCTTATTTTTCTATCTGACAGTGTATAACATAGATGAAGGAACTTCATACTGCCTTTATAGCTAAAAAAAAGTCATGGCAGTCTCAGTTCATGCCACTTACAGTGAGTCAGTCTTTTTTCTTTAGGTCAGTCCGTGTGCATATGATATCCTGCTGTGGAAGTAATATGGGAATTAAATATGTGCTTTGATGTGCTGTGATTTGGGAACATAGAAAGATACCAAATAATGAATAAAATTTGTCTCATCTGTAATTGAAGACTAAAATATTATCAAGACCTTTACTGACAGTTGCACCCTGATCTTCTCACTGTTTAATTATAAATATTTGAGTTCTGCTAGGTCAAAGTCTGAAATTCTCTATAAGCTAAGGATTTCTTATTACCATATTTGTTCAGGTATTTGCTCTGCACAGACTATCTATTTTTCTAAATCCCGGATGTTTCGTCAGTGAAAGTAATTCTGGGATGTAATGAATGCAGAAAACTGGTCTTTAATACAAAAGAATAGGACTAGGTAATGAAGGAAATGCCATGTTATGCTCCTGTACCGGCAAAAAAGTCCAGATGAAATTCAGGAATGTCTTGCCAGTGTGTTGTCAGACTCCACAGCAACTCAATAAACTGGGAAAGGCCCACCAGGAGCACTACAGACATAAAATATGACAACTGTATTTTTCTTGCTTCCCTTTAAAACAAATGAAGGTTACAGCATGGATATAAAGCTGATGGAAACAGCTGTGTTTCCAAATTTGACCTGCTGTGCCCAATGAACTATGTGTGAGGTAAATGATATGTCTCAATTAAAAGATAAATCTATAAAATCACTCCCTCTCTTAAGGCACTTGTAGTCTTTTCTGTAATCTGTCCTGATGACCAGGTAGAGTTTAGGTACAGGAACCTGCATAATTCTCAAGTCTGTAAAGATATACTGTCAAAAGCTGTGGAATGATTTGTTGCAGTTTGCAAGTGCATGAGGAGAGCTCTAAGCAAGCACTGCTTGTTTCTGCAGGGAATTAGGATTTGAAGAATTGCTAACTTTTGCTGGGGGAAGGTTCTGCAAATACACTGTTTATAATTAAAATGTTTCATCTGACTTCAATAGCATCTGTATTACAGAGAAGGAAATTAATGTTAAAAACATGGTGCCAAATTAAATCCTATTTTATTTAGTTCAAGTCAATGGAATTGTACCAAGGATGAGCTTGGACTTGTTTAGTTAAAATTATTCCCTACTACTTTTTCTCTTATATATTGAGTAAATGTTTATTTTACTGTATTTTTTTCTACTATTTCCATAGGACACCTTACAGCAAAAGCAATCTGTTTAGAACATCATCGTATACGAGTTAATTCCTCCTTTTGTGGCCCAAGGACAAAGCCTTCATCTGAAACAAAACTATGCAATACTAATCCCTGCCCAGCATAGTAAGTTCTCTTTATTTCTGTACATTTTCGCTGCGCTTTATGACTGAGTTTGCCATGAAAGAAGTCCTCCCCCAATAGACACACAGAATTCTGTAGCCTGCTAGATGAACCCACTTTTATTCTGTAACTTAAACCAGTCATTGTTTAAAAATGTTAGTTGTGTAGGCTTCTGCCCAATGATAATAATAGAGGCAGTATTTCTGATGTTGCTAAGCGAGACCTCCTGAGGATTGCTTGCAGCTCTGTCACCATGCTGGGGTTAGCTATGTGACACTGAGTAAATCTAAGTTACTTAGAGGCCCATTCTGCCACCTTTACTCACCTTGAATCAATAAGACCATTTCCTGAGTAAAGTGCTACTCCCCATGTGGAAGCTTGGCCCCATGACTCAGATTCCACATATTAGATTAGGTTAAAAGAATCTTGTGAAGTGTAATTAGTGATTTTTTGGGGGCAAAATGTCCCACAAAGTATTATGATACCAAGAAGAGGACTATCTAAACCAAATAAATGGTCAGCAATACTCCTGGCGCCCACAAAAATAAATACGAAGACATTGCCTATGTGAATAATATTTTCTGACAGACATAAGAAAGACAAGATGCAAAGCAAGACATTGACATATAGATAAGCATTTAGAATCCAGCTGGTCTAAATCAATAGAGCTCCTTTAAAAACAAGGGAGCTAGTTACACTGATTTATAGTAGCCGTAGTAGGGGTCCTTTGGAAAAAAAATATGTGTGCTCATATAATTAAACACAGTTTTATGTGGCTTAGAATATAAATGGGTAGATTTAAGGACACATTGGCCATCTTCCTGCTGCTGGTTTCACTTTTGAATTCCTGACTTTGCAACCTTGGCTTTACTTTAATTTTATCCTAATGATCAGAAAAGCTGTACTATGTTGGACAAGACATTTTGACTTCCAGAACAGGAGATTTTCTAAAGCAATATGTTGAACAAATTCAGAGTGTTTCAGTGGGAAAGGCAGACAGTGGAGGATGCATTGAAGCGCACAGGCAGCAGAAGGCAGAGGAAATGGAGGAAAGCTCTAGACCTGGTGTCATCTGCTCGTTTTACTCTGCCGTGGTAAAAGCAATTGGCTAAGCCCACTCCCATACTTCATGAAATAACACATCTAATGAAGTTTCATCAGAAGCATTCCTCATCTCCCCCAGTCCAGAAGAGGCTGATGGGGCAAAGCAAAAAAATGTGTATGTTCTGCAGTGGCTTTGTTTTTATTTAAAAATCCATAGTTTGCAGTATGTTGAACACAGTAAAAAATAGTCCAGTAGTAGTCTGGAATTTCCTGCAAAATTTAAACATTACAGCAGAGTACACAAATTCCAAACAGCAAATTACACACTATGACCACAAAATGATAAAGATAAGGTTTAAATAGTGGTAAGATGTGACATGAGAGCCCCATGTTCCTGCTTCAGCAGTTTCTGTAGGTTGCGTGTAGCCACATGATTTTCTCAATACCAATTTTAAGTAATCTTTGTAGGCAACCACAATCATTTCATATATGACCTATCTTCTGCTAGAACTACTTTTATCAGTGAACTGAGTATCATGTACACAGAAATATATTGTTTATGATGTTCCCAGAAGTCTTTTTAAGCTGTTTATGCTTACCTTCTTTTTGATGTGTCATTGTTATGCTATAAAGCTTCACCAAAATCATGTTCATTTCTATTGACCACACACGAAACTTCTATTTCTGTTAACCAGAGATCCCGATGTATTTTGAACACCCACTGATATACCTATCACTGAAAATGTTGATTATCCATTTTGACACGCAGTGCAACGTTCTTGTACTGAAATTTCTCTGGTTTTCTTAGATTTACTACTTTAAAACACAATTAATGACTTGAACCCTAAAAAGAGTACAAAAAAAAAAAAGCCATAAAAGCCCCAAGCCACCTCTAGGGGAAAACAATTCAACTCACTAATTAATTATTTCAAAAATCCTTAGGATATATTAATGTATGGAGGATCTACATGTAGGACCATGTCTAAATCTAACAGATTACCATTCAGCTGAGTGAAACTACGCCAGAATATCTCTGCTGAGGAATCTGCTCAGAAAGTCATGGCATGTAATATTTCTCATAAAACCTAGGCTGCCAGCATCAAAAAATGTAGTATTAATAAATACCATGGAGGAAACGAAGAATGCTTAATAGCCAGCAAATAAAGCAAACCCAAATATGGTAGGTATAATAGGCAAGGGAAGGAGGTGAATAATAGATGAGATACAAATGTGTCAGTTTGGTGACATAAAAGAGGCTCCAGACTTACAAAGGTCGGTGAGGAATAATTACTGCATAAGAACAAAGACTTATTAGTCTGAGTAGGAACAAACTACTGTCCCAACAGTGAGAACGCAGAAAGGCATCAGTACCGCACACTGTTGTTGTTGGATTTCAGAGCCACCAAATCTGGTCATAATTATTTAGTTATTTGAGCTAATGAAAGATACTCTTGGATCACAGCCCAGATAATCTTGGAAAATGGCGCTTTACTAGAGGACATTAAAGTAGGTTTATTGCCCTCTCCTCTGTGAAGAGGGGAACTTTCTGGGCAGTTATGGTGAATAAACTCTTAAAATGAACACTTTTGGTTGCCCTACCAATCACCGTTGTCAGAAACATCAAGGCAAAGTATTTAAAAGTTGTAAAATGGATTAAAACTGTAACTTGTTTCCAGAAGTTTGTATTGCAGTGGTCCGAATATTTATAAATCAGACAAAAAGGAAACTTCTGACATGTTCTGGAATTACATAAATACTGGCTTTTCACATTAATATTTCTTTGTCCTTAAATTAGTGCTTTTTGTATTTCCCACTACTTTTGGCAGTTACTGAGGTTACTAGACTGAGACTTGGGATTTCTTCTGTTCCCAAAGGGCTTTTTCAAAAATAGGCTTTTTTTATACATTTTTTACAAATTAAAATGAGCTTTGTTTTTAGGCAGATGTGAACAGACAGGCAAATGGGATGCTGTTCATCTGTCACACAGTAAGAAAGGAAAGAAAAAAAAAAAAAAAAAGCTTTCTTGTTGTTATGTAGGCAGCTATTCCAGTGGTCACAGGCCTGATGCTGTGAGAAACCATGGAAGTAGGACAGGCCAGGCAGTCGGATTTGAGATGAGAACCTTTTCTGTGGCACAGATTACTAAAAGTTTGTAAAACTGCTGTTTTAAAACTCCAGTTTAATTTCAGTGCTGTGTCTTTGATTAAGAGTTCTCAATCGAGTAATCATTTAGTCATTCATGATTTCCTTTGTTTCTTCACTTCTGTTTTCCTATCCAGTTGAAACCTCTGGTGTTACGGTGTAAGCCTTCGAGGACAAAGACACTTGGTTGTATGTTTGCAAAGTGTTCCACAGAGCCTGGGGACCCTCTCAGTGCTCCAACAATAGAAATACTGAGCAGCTATGGACATTTCAAAACTGGACTTTTCCTAAGCAATTGGCAATAGTTCTTCAGACTGTGTAACTTCAGTGACATAATGTGTAACAGAAGCGTGCCTGTGACTGGAGTATAGATTTGCCCAACAGCTTTTGCTGGTTAAATTCCCTCTGTTTTATTTAGATTCTGCATCATCTGTTTGCCAAATTTATTAGTCTGAGGACATTTAAATCCTCAAGACACTAATGACAGGACTGCCGATTTTAGCAAGCAAGTTCTATTTTGTGAATAGAGGCCAGTAATGTTTGACATAAACACCGCGGGACAGCACCATGCCAACATTTGTCGCCCTGTGGGAGTGCATTGGGACGTACACGCTCAGCTAAACTGGGCCCATTCTTTCCCGGCCATGACAGCTTTTCCCTTATATCAGCTTAGGTGAAGCTTCCTCCTCTGCCCTGTCTTCCAAGAGAGATATAAAAGGGAAAACATGTAACAACAAAGGGCAGAACTTTCCAATAATCAAATCTTATTAGTTCACAGAACTCTCTCCATCTGTCTGGCTTCTGGTTTTGGCCTTGGGTCTGTTAGTCTGTTTGGAGGTCTCTTCAGCAGCCAAAGTGACAAAAGTGACCAACCTACCATTTCTTTAGGAAAGATTTTTCTTCTCCTGTTTTAAAGAGATTTTTTTCAATTCAAAGCATAGACGTGATTTGTAGCCAGACCCTTAGATCTCCTAGATGCTCCAGCAGCCTCAATGGCAGCATCTCTCTCAGTCCTGGTGGAACTGCAGATTCCAGGTTGGATTCCTAGGCAAGCTGGTTCTGGTAGATGAGCACTGTAAATAAGTAATACTAGTTTTTCCAGTCGTGTGACTGATGTTTCATCTCCAGCAAAATGTTCCATGCTTTGAAGACAAGATTATGCAACGATGGCCTTTTGATTGCTTGAGCAGATACCAGTACGTCATGAGAGTAGACTAAGCAGAACCCCTGAATAATTTGCATTTGATAGGTGGCTCATGTGTATTGATTTTATAAAGGAAATTGGACTCCTGTGTTTCTAACGTACATTTCCTCCTTCAAGCTGGTCAACAGGCGAATGGAGCACATGCAGCAAATCTTGTGGAGGAGGGGAACAAAGCCGTCTCGTTCAGTGTGTCCAGAAAAGGGCTTTCCAAAGAGAGGAGGTAGTGGCCCATTCCCTGTGTCCTGTCAGCACCCCAACACAGATGCAGATGTGCAATAGTCAGGACTGCCCACCTGAATGGAGCCCTGGCCTATGGTCTCAGGTAATTTGGAGAAAAAAATTACATTTTTGTCTGCTGGCACAATGAAAATATTGCCAAAAACTCTGCTGAAAAAGAACAGTGCAAACTTTGTGAAGATCAGTATTTTGCAAGTGACTCTATTCATGAAGATAATATGTAAACTATGTATATATTTTAACTGGCCTTCCTAAGTGCTCACATAGGAGGGCTTGCCAGAAGTGGACACGTGGTGTCCTTTTTGGTACATATAAATGGATGGATAATTTTTTCTGGTTTCATAACTTAAGGCTCTATGAATACTTGAAAGCCATTAACGCCCCTCTGAGATTACTTCCCACAGCAATATTAACTTTTCTGAGAGACAACACGCAGTCGAGGAATGAAGAAATATTTGGGGTTAGAGTTGCATAGTAATGCACACACATGTGTGAATTGTGGGTTGTTAAATTTGCGATTTACATGTCCACAAATCACTTCTGTACTTTTGCCTTTGTTCGAGTAACTATTCTACTGCAAGTAGAGTACTGCTGCAGTTAACTGCCATGAGGGGCATAAGGCCCCTGGGCAGATTCCTGTGTGTACACACCCTGCCTTACAAACTTGCGAACTGCCTGACATTAAACCAGCCGGAGTTACAGAACACACACACCCCTACACAAAACTCATTTCTGCCCTTTCACTACTACTGATGCTGGTATGAACTGTTAATGTAAGAATAAATGAAGTACTGGGAAATCTGGGATTTAAGAGAGAGCTGACAGTACACTTGTATCAAAAGGAGCTATGTGATTTTTATTTTTCCAGCTTAATTTAGTGAGGTGGATTAAAGTGTGGTGTTCAAGGTGGATATAAATTTACTGAAAAATCTATTACTTCTGTGTACACTTCTTGCAGCTGTTGCTCTTTAGGTGTTCAAGAACATCTTGACCTAGGCATTCCCAGCTGAGAAGCACAGACTGCCTCTCCAGGGGAGTGCCCTGTAGTGTACTATGACAGACAAGTAACTACTCAATAGTCCATCGTAACGGAGTTTTAACACTCAAAAAGAAACTTTCTTTTCCAGTGTACATGAAGGAAACCTTAACATGGCAGGAGGTTATAAAAATCAGGTATGATGATTAGATACTTAAAAAGGAAGAACAAAGTCTTCAAACACATTCACACTTTCAAACATTCCTTCCTCTAAATTTAAAAAAAAAAAATAAAAAAAAAATAAAAAAAATATATTTTCCTCCTTTTTAGGAGGCTTACAATTCAAGTTGGCATTTTCAAATAAGCATATGAAAATCAAGTTCACAATTTTTTTTGTGAACAGGCCTATTGAACAAGTCAGTGAAGACTTTAAGATTCAACTGAAAGCTATTATATCACAGGCTCAAAGTGATTAAGATGGAAAAAATGCAAAATACCCAGCCTCTCTACACAAATCAGAGTAATTTTAAATGAAAGGAGTTTTTTGTTTGTTTGGGGGAAAGATTGAAACCACAGAATTTCAGCATGCAGATATTTCTGTTGCATCCTCAGTACAACTCTTTTCATGAAATCTTTTAAAGACAGTTGTGATGTAATACAGGTAGTGGTAGTGCAGCATTCTGCCTTGGAATGTGCCCCTTAATTATTAGTGAAAAGAAGAACAATTAGAAGAGGATGCAACAAGGCAGAAAGCTGGTAGCATTATTTCAGGGCCATTTATTTCTTCATTTCATCAGAAATAGCTCATTCATGCATTTTGTTGTATGCTAAGGCATTGAAAGCTGCAGATTGTTCCTTCAACAGAATCACAGTTCAGCAATGCATATTTATTCACCGGTGACTTCTCCTAGGCTTCAGTTGTAATCGTCGCAGTTAAAATATCTTTAGTCAAACTTCTTAACCATTGTCTGTATCAGATTCTGTTTTGTAGTGAGATTCATTTGGTGAAGGAGTTATGTATAGATTCCCTGGGTAGTTGTCTCTGCCTCCATCTCATCCCTCTAGGCCAAGGTGAGGACAAAATAACAAATAACTTAGAACATCTTGCTGTGGGAGATGCCGCGATGGGAGGTTAGGACCAGCTTTCAACTATGCTGTCAAGGGAAAAAAGAATTTTGCTCACAAGCCCAACTTACCTCATCTACGGAAGAGAGATATTACTTATCTGTTCTACATGGGGGCTGTAAGAGTTCATAGCTTACATTAAGTAAGCACTTAGAACGATGTTTTAGAAGTGACACGCAGATGTTACTGTTACTTATGTACCAATAGAATTTCAAGTTGACTTATATTATAATGGCAGCTACAGAGTGCAATAGCCATGGCTTCTATGCTCTGCTGTAAAATACAAATAATGCCAATTTTCGTTTCCTCTAGTTCAAATGACTATTTCTTCCCATCACAGTGCTCCAAGACTTGTGGGAGAGGTGTTAAGAAACGGGATGTCTACTGCAAAAGTACCGGTTCTCCCAAGGTTAAGATATTGCCTGAAAGTATGTGCAGCAGAGACCATAAACCTGAATCCCAGCAGACCTGTGTGCTAGGACGCTGCCCCAAAAACGACCGACTCCAGTGGGTGATTTCTTCCTGGAGTGAGGTAAAGTGGTGCGGTTACATGGCTCACTGCCTTCCTTTGCTGCTCTTGGAAACATTGACTCAGGGACACACACAAACGATGTGGGGGAAAGAAGGCTAAGCTGTCATTTGAAAATCAGGTGTTCTAAAAAAGCTGCTCTGAAAACGGAGTCCTTTACATCCAGCTGTAGTTAGGTGTACCCTGACGTCTTTGTTTTTCAGGACTTTCACTGACTTGAATTCATATTTCAGTTTACAGAACATGGTCTTTGTGGTTTTTGTTTTATAATACTACTGTTGTTTCACGTAATTTGGTGTCTCTTGCACACAGCACACTTTCCTTTAGCTAAATCTTGCTATACATTTGAAAGGTGTACTTTGCTTCTTCAGTGCTCAGCCTCCTGTGGCCCAGGTGTGCAAAGGCGAGAATTAAAATGCGGTGAGAAAAGCATCCATGGGAAATTGATCACCTTTCCTCAGAGAAGATGTAGAAACATCAAGAAACCAAACACCAACCTGGAAGAAGCCTGTAACAAGGGAGCCTGTCCATCGCAAACGTTGTATAACATGGTGTCTGGCTGGTATTCCTCACCCTGGCAGCAGGTAGGAACGGGAAACTTTCTGGCCTCTCTGTCCTTGTCCCAGCCAGCTCTCTTTCTCCAGCACCATTTCATGTCTTGGCTTTTACAAAAGGAGCAAGTTTCTCTACACAGTAGCTCCAGTAGCATTCCTTAGTGCTTTTCACTACACAGCATCAAAGAACAACACAACTGCAATGTGACTGCTGACTGTTGGACAGTGCATCCACCGTAATGAGAAGGTGATGTTGCAGCGCTGGCCTTAGAGAGTACCAAACCTGGAAAAGCCGCAGTATCATACGCCCCAGAACGAACGCGAGCTGGAGTGGGACAGAAACCTGCTGGGTGTAAATGCTGAAGACCATGCCGCTGTGACTATGGCAATGTGAGTCCAAGCTACCTAGATTAAAGTAGCTCCAGTCTTACATTGTGCCCATAGTCAAATGTCTGATCGTATGGAGGAGATATCTCCAGTACTAACAGTCCACTGGTTTCTCCTGCATTTAGCCATTCCTTAAAGCAGGTTGCACCACTCAGCCACTGAAACATGATGCAGCTGGTCCACATCCATCACCACTTTGGTGCAGCTTATTTCTCCGTCCTGAAACTGAAGAACGTCACCGAAAAATGTTATTCATGCTCAACAGGCACTACATTCCACGCTTTTTCTAACACTTTCTTCTCAGTCTTCTTCAAAATGCACTGTGGTTGAACTATTACATATCTATATGCACAATGTATGTGAGCATCTGCACAGATTGCCTGGAATTCCCTAAATACTATGATTAATTACGGGATAAGTCTGTATTTGTTTCTACATTCTTGCAAACAAGCTTCTGTATTTCTGGAACTTATCTACTTTATGAGTCGCATATCAGTGAGACACACACTCATTTAATAACATTTACATGAAACAGTGTATGGCTGGCAATTGTAGTAAGATGAAAATGATCACATTTATCTCAAAGACAACTTTTCATGAAACACATACAAGTAAAAGGCTTATTCATTTAAAATACTTCATAGATCTTCCTGCAAATACTTAGTGTTTTTCCCCAGATACTGCCATGATTATGGGTCCAATGGGAGTTTTATCTCTGTTCATACAGCAGGATTGGGCCCAGAGGCTCAGAGTTCAAAAGAAATCAGTGCAGACAATCAGGAACAGGTTTTCTGAAACGTTCAGTTTCTGTCTTGATGCCTAAGTAAGGAACCAAATTTTCAGCTGAGTCCTTAAATAACCAAACTTTTGGAAGGGAGAACAGATGCACACATCTTTGAAAAGTTGGTCTTGATGGGGCTTGCTGAACAGCAACACATCCAATCCTGACCTCTCTCACTTTGAAAGTCTCATCCAAAGTCCTTGAAAGTGACTCCTTTGGCTTTCATGGGCTCCCAGAGAGTCTCTGTGACGAAAAGACGGCTTTTTCTTTCTTCCTCTCTGCAGTGCACAGTAACGTGCGGAGGAGGAGTGCAAACCCGGAGCGTACAGTGCCTGCGCCAAGGAAGACCAGCTTCTGGGTGCTTGCCCCATCAGAAACCAGCAGTCCTGAGAGCCTGCAATACTAACTTCTGCCCAGTCCCTGTGAAAAGAGGTAAAGCCCAGCTCTCCATGCTGCTGCAGGGTTGGTTGCTTAGAACTCTATATTCAGCAAAAAATCACCTTTTCCAGTTACACCCACTGAAGATTATCATTTGGCATGTTCCTTCACAAATGATTTTTTCTCAGACTTTCCAGCTTTACAGTTGCTCTCTGATACCACAGCATCTCTTCTCAAAGTGAACCCTCTTAAAGCAGACTTGAGTAAAACTGACACAGACTCTAGAAACAGGGATATGTTAAAAAAAAAAAAAAGCACGTCAAAAAGTTATGCCATTTGATTCTGAGCTGCATCATTATACTATCTTGTTATTTAGTTACTATTACACAAACAGAATCGTCCTATGCTGATACTGGTTTATGAGTAAAACCAGCAAATTTTGAACTAAGCAATAAGAATTTGCCATTTATATTTAGTCTTTCTAAGTCAGCCCAAGCTTCAGATTGCACCCATATCCTAGGAGTCCAAACACGCCTTGTCTAGAATGTGCTTCTCTTCTTACTGCTTCTGATCAGCGTGTGACGTGCAGTCAGGGAACATGAAATTAAGTTCTGTCCCCACTTGTAGGTCTATTGTATCCCTCTCTACTTCCACGGTGTGCTTTGCAATTCTAGAGAAGCAGGAGGAGCAAGAGGTTTTGTGTCAGTCAGAATGATGGGGCTCTCTCAGAACCACCGCAGAGAGCAGTGCATGGGCCCCGTCCCATATATTTGCTTACAAGTTGGTTACAGTTTGTGAGTCCTTCTTAACTGTGGGAAAAAAGCTCATGGCATCCAGGTTTGTCCCCTATAACACGTGTTACCGAGGCACGCTAAAGCACTTTAAACGTTGGCTTTCAAAGTACTGCGCGTGAACTGTCTTGTTGCAATTTTCAGACTGGGAGCTGAAAGTAACCTCTATAAAACCGAGGCCGGATGGCAAGAGAAGGGTGTTAATAGAGTTGGGAGTAAAGGTCAAGCTCTTGCCCTGCATCTTGTAAACTGACATTAGCCAACCACCCCCCTCATCTGCTTCGATTCCTGGCGTTCACTGTGCACAGAAACCCTGTAAAACTCAGGGATATCTTAACAGGCATTCTGCGGCATCAGCTGAAGATGTGCAGAGTATCAAACTGAATTATCAGGGGACTTGAAGCCAAACAAGGTTATATAGATGAAATGGCCCTAAAAGGGCTAAGTAAATAGTTCTGCTGTTTTATATAAGTAAATGTTCTTAACGCTTCAAATTAACCTTCCTAAAAAGTTCTGCTGTACTTTGGAGTTTCTGTATTACATCCTTTTCTGTCATGATACAGCAAGCACTTTTCTTTCACCCCTGCCTTCCTCTGCCGTATTTCATGTCTGCAGTAATGTCTGTTATTAATTTTGGCCTTGGCCTGTTTCTCTGTCTCCTCACATCTGCAGGAGCCCTTTCCCCTTTATTATAACTGGGTCGTCAGGCTCTAGAGATCAATTATCTCTTTGCTGTTCTCTAACTCAGCAGATGGAGAGGGAACCAGCTGTGCTGGAATCACATTGAAGCAAATCAGTCTCTATTATCAGTCATGCAGCTCCAGCTCAGTGATCACAGTCAAGAAATTAATGTTTCAGGGAGAGTTTACACACTTTCCTACACAAACCAGGTCATTTCCATCGCGCTGTTACCTGCAGTTACGGTCACCGTAACTCCTAGTAAATCCAACTGCTTAAAATCAATGAAAAATTAAACAATGTATAAATACTTGAGTAAATAGAAATAAGGAACTGACAGCCTGATCCACATCCACTGAAGGTTGTGGGATTCTTTGTGTTCATTCCGATGGTCTTTGGATTAGGTCCCAACAGTAAAGATTTTGGCCATACCTCTGTGATGTTGGCATTGCACTCAGGTCTTCAAAAGGGGCATAAGGATGAATTACCAGTGCCTCCTCAGTGCTCATATTTTATTTTTTTAAAATATTCATAATTTTTGAACAATTTACCCTTCCATGGCGGGACAGGTGCTTCTTGGCTTAATCAGAACAACTTTCCTCACTTTGTGCTGTGCATGTTTTTCATCTGTTGTCTGCCGTGGATCCTCCCAGCAGCAAATTCTCTGTGATGGACAGCAGGTGAAGTAACGTGAAAGCTGGTGCTGAACTCCCAGTTGTGTCCCTACGGACACTCAATTGCCTAGAAAGGCAATGCTGTGGAGTGGGAAGGCTGCAGCTCAGTACTGAGCTTCCTTGTTCCTGGACAACTCTTTGTTCAGTATTTGCTCTACATGACATTAGCATTTACAGACAGGAGCATGCTTTTAAAAACTGAGGAATAAAATGGCATCTTTTAAAAAAATTATCATTAAATTATTTTCTTATTCATTCAAATAAATTTGAGGGTGACAAAGATACACAAAATCACCTTTACCATCATATAAAAGGTAACAAAAAACCCAAAGTGGTGACTAATCAAAAGAAGTTCCTGTAGAAAGACGGAGCTGACTCCTGGCCCACAGAATGTGAGGAAGGTGTCCGTGCTATGCGAGGGAGCATTCCTCTTCTGTGACTCAGCTTGGCTGATCTGAGAATGCAGATGACGGGGGCTAGATTCTTCTTCACTGTCTCCTTGTAAATGCCTTTTATTGATCACGTAAACAGTAGTTCTGAGACTTGAATGGAGTCTTTTCCCATGCTCACAGGAGATTGCAGTTTAGCTATAAATTTTGCTAAACCTCATTTAAATGTCTTACTGCTCTCTCAGACATGGTGAACTTGTTTATAAATCATCTGTATGAATCATCACTCCGCTCTTTTAAAGACACATAAAGCATCCACTACAAAACCGTAGAAAGGAGCAGCTCTGAAATGTTTTTAAGGCGACTGGGCTGTGCCCATAAATTTAAGTGAAATAAAACCTTAATTGAAAAATATGGCTTATTTGTATTTGTAATTAAAAGCTGGGCTTTTCAGAACTAAACATCGTCAGCCTGTCTCTTTTTCCCATTGCAGTTCATTAAGATTTCACCACCACGGCACAGTCAAAGTCCTAAACCCTGGATTCACGCCACCTAACCAAGGCGTCTAAGAAGAGAGATTTCTTAGGCTCCCTGCATAGTCAAACAGAGAGAACGAAGTCCCTCTAGGAAGTGTGGGAACACAAACCCATAGCAGAGCACTTTGTGCACACACGTGCACAGAGCAGGGTCCCTGCGCTCAGCCTTGCAGCGTTTTGTGTGTAGGTGCACACACACTCACAGCTGACGTGCTCTGGGGTGCGGGTAAACTCCATGGGGTGCTGACGGCCACAAGCAGTCGGCATCGGGCATGGAGCAGGCTCATTTTCACAAGGACCTGGCTTTAGAATAACGTTTGTAATCAGAGATGAAAACACAGATGACTTTTTTAACCTTTACAGCGGAACTTCCTTCTGTTTTCCCAAACTGCTCTAAATTTTTTAATTCCTTTAGCCTCTGACCCTCCAATTATATCCACTCTATCAAATTAAATTTGATCTCTTAGCAAATTAAACACCTCTTAACAAATTAAAAAATAAACTAGTACGTTTGAGATGAAAGCTAGTTCATGTTTCGTCTTCTTTGAATGGAGCTACCCATCGTATTTTTAACATTACCAAATGCCTACAAGTGTGCAGAACTATTGCCTGATTTGTAGACTTGCTGAAACACTGTCTTACCACACTGCTTGGATTTTTTTTCTTCAGATGATCCTTCTTGTGTGGATTTCTTCACGTGGTGTCATCTGGTACCCCAGCACGGTGTCTGTAACCACAAATTTTATGGCAAGCAATGTTGTAAATCATGCACGAAGAAGAACTGATAGCAGCATGTTAACTGAACCCTTCAGTGCCAGGATTCTCTTCAATTGATGTTGGAATTAACTTTGCTTTGAGGCAAGACATGGTGCCGCAGAAACCACTGATGGAAGAGACATCTTTTCTAAGGGAATGTCTGAGGTACAGTAATTGCTGGATAGATGTTGAAAAAGGAATGTTTCTGTTTTTTTCTTTCTTTCCTGACCTCACTGAAGTACAGGGTACTATGGATCACTTGAACACTGAGACTCCAGGGGCAGTTCTTCTTTCTTTAAAAGTGTCATTTTGCACTGTCCTGTGTTATGAGGAAGAAATTAAGGCAAGGAAGCCGTTTCTGGCTAATTTCCCAGAATGCAAAGCAAAAGAGATTGGGAGCTCGAGGAGGAAGGTTACAGCGTGGCAGCATGACAGATCGCACTATCAAAAATGTTTCCTTTCCCCTCTCTTTACAACACTATCATGCCAGGGTAAGGAAGCTGTTTACTGCCACTTCCACAGAAGGACATTCAAATGGCCGTTGTCTGAGAACGCAGCGTCACGTGTGTGACCACGAGAAGTAAATAGTGCACTACAAAGATATATGGTGCTTCTCTGTTAGACTTGCTGCTGGAAAAGCAAGTTTTGCGTCGTGCTAATGTTTTTATTGTTTTGAAGAATTCACTTTCTGCTTTGTGTAGAAACTCAGAGGTGGTTAACTAGTAACTTGAAATGTACTCCTAGAAATATTCAGCATTAGAATATTTGGACTTTTAATATTGCTGTGTTACAAGTAAAATAGAATTTCATATTTCAACTAACCCAAGGAACTCAGACTTATTGAGCTCAATGGTTACATTTTCAACTTTCTAAGCTCATTAGATATGTACTTTTAAAATTTAAACTTGATATTTTAAAGTAGTTTTTTTCAGAGGCGAGGTTGTTTGAATGCCAAGATACTGAAGAATGTCTTCCTTTTAATCTCAAATCTCTCTGCAAATTTTGATTCATCCGTTACGCAAAGGAAATCTCAAGAATATTACAGTCCGTTAATTCATGGTAAACTTCTCTAAAGAGTTATTTATTCACACAGGTTATATGAAAAAAATGAAAAAGATAAGCGGATGATTTACTCTAACCAAATAAGAGTTAATTCTATTTTTATACATTCTCCTAATGCTTTTATTTAGTTCCGAATCCACCAGCAAACAAAAGAAATGTAAACATAACGATATCTGAAATCCTTCGGTATCGACACATTCAGTGACACTACGTATCAAGTGGTACAGTTGAAAAAGTCTCTGCATTGAAAAGATACACAACTCATTTGCCAAACCCCTTCTGAGACAGAGCTGTGTTCTACTGTAATTTTCTGGGGAGTGCCTATGAGGGACGTATTTATCTAATTCCACCCAACCCCACAACTTCGTTTGATGAATGTAGTTCAGTTTTACTGCTTTTTTAAAGTATCGTTTCAGCAAAAGATTAGCCAGCTCAGCACTAATGCCAGACAGTGGTCACTTAAAATTAGCAGTTCCTTCTGCAACAATTTAAATTAAAAACATGTATTCTATGATACTTTAAAAAAGGATGATTGGAAACATATCTCAGCCTACACCGCTCTGTCTTGATATTGGACGTTGTGTAATTATAACCTTTTTTCTAGGAAAACTACAAGTTTTTTTTTTTTGTTTGTTTTTATAATTGTGTCCTTTTTATTATTTGATGTAAAATAATTAATTTATTAATGCATAGCTTTTCCTTTATATTTCTTTGCTCACTTCCTGAAGTGACAACTGAGGAAAGAAAATGGTAGTGTCACAAAGTATGAATTATGGTGTAAAAAAAGCAAAAAATATAAGTGTAATATTTAATTATTTTATAAGCTTTGTAATAAAGTACTCTAATGGTTTCATTATATTTGGAATTGTAAAATTCATGAATAAAATATGGAGGCTATAAGTAAATATCAAGTAATATAAGTGGTGTCTTCATTCGTCTGCATCTGTGTTGACCGCCCCATAGTATCGTTAAGTAAAACATTATCCTGTTTTCTTCTGCTATGTCACTGGCTAATCTGGGACTCGGAGCCAGCGCCAGCTCTGTGGAGGGGTAGCGACAAAAGCTGTTCTTTGGGGCAGTGGAAATTTAGCCACCGCAGCTGCGTGTGACCTCCCTGCCTAACCATGCCCCTACCATTCAGGTCTGGTATGGGTTAATATTGGCGGGGAACTCTCAAAACAGTGGGTTTGAGTGTTAACAAGCCATTATGATGAATGGGATGGAGGTCATTCCTTTCAGGCACTCAAAGTCAGGCGTATGTGCTAAGGTCATGTGAAACTTCTCTACTTTTGAAGGTCCCATTATACTGGCAAGTGAGGAATGCACGACTGGTTATTCAACAGAGTGAATATATTGTAGTTGCCTTTTAAGAGCAGAAGATGTTTCTCATTTGAATGACTGCCCTACCATTGAAGCAGCTGGCTTGGATTGTGCCCATTCCAGGCACAAAAAGGCAAAATGGACATAATGGTTTTATTTTCGTACCAACACAAAAGCTAAAATACACAAAAATACAGTTGCCCCACTATGTGCAAGACAAAACTGACCTATTGCTCTCTCATCAGAGACAGTGGAAACTTGTGCATCACAGAACCAGCATGATTCTTCCCTGCATGTAGTTATATCTGCAAGGTGGTTTGTGAGGTAAGAAACTTCACTCAGCACAGTGTTAGGTTTGACAGCCTCTCCCATCTGCCTTGGGATACTTTATTTATAAAAGCTACTCAGCTAAGAAGTTTCCAAGCCAGTCCCTAGTAGGGACTACATCGATTCACTGGATCATTTCATATGTATGTTCTCTAACACATATTTGCACTTTTCCCTTCGTTCGCCATCACTCAGTACTCTGACAACAGCGAGCTCTATAGAGTATTGTTGATGATAGGAAATACTGAGCGTGCTTCTGATTTACAGTATAATCCAGCAGGTGACAACAAGCAATAGATCAGTCTGCCTCTGAAGGATTCCCAGCAAGCGCTCTTTCAAACATGATCTGGACTAGTGATTTGACTAATTAATATGCCCACACAAGAATTCAGACTAAACTCCTTTGTGTTCTGGGCTAGAATTTTGGAGTTAAAGTGAACTGACAGTTGTCAGAGAATTACAGTGTTGGAGATGGATGTTGAAAGAGGAAATACTGCATAAAGATGTGCTATTGTGTGGTTGGATCAACCCCAAGTCCACAACGGTTTTATGGCTGAGCCCTTACAACGATATTTGGTATACAAAGCTTGGCAGTTTTGTAGAAGCACATTGCTGCAAGGCTCACTTTATAAAGCAGAATGGGGTCTTTTCACAAAGGAATAGCTCCGTTTCCTGTAGTCAGATTTCATCACTCAGGTAAAGGATGCATCTGCCTAAAACTCAAACAGATATTTAATGAATGGCTTGATTGTGTAAATCAAACTCAACCATCTCGGATGCCCAGAAGACATGAAATGTTGGAGACAGATGAACGTTTCACTGCATGTGGTTTTATGGTAACATGATCCATATCCCATATTTCCTTTCTTTTTCAACAAATCCTATTCAAAAGCATCAGTAAAATAAATTAACAATATTATTCCTATTGTAATAGAAGTCCAACCCTACTGAGTCCCTGGGATCCCACTGTGTACAACACTGTACACACATGTCACGAAAGGCTTACAGTCCTGAGTGTACAAGAAGAAACAACAGGAAAAGAAGATGTTAACAGTGAGCTCATTGTGATTAGGGGAAAAAGTGTGGCTCCTGGCCCACAGTCTGTCTGGATGCTGCAGAACGTTTCAAAGGCAGCTCCATGCAGATAAGATCTGAAAGAGCAATACTGAGGAACTTTATCTTGACCTTGTTTCAAACGCAAACGCTGAGCGATGCTGTGGTCTGAGAGGATAGTAGAGGGGAAAGGCAGTAGAGAAGCGGGGATGCAGTGGAATGAATCAAAGATGAGGTGTGTTCAGCGCTGAGTCCTAACCAAGATAATGACTATCACAAAAGGAAAGCAATAGATACGAATCATTCAAACTGCTAGCCTGGTCGTTATCGGGGAGTACGGAGATGGGAGTTTTCGGCAAGGCAGTAAGTCTTCTTTCCGTCCAAAAAAGTTCTGAAATAAGGAGATGCAGCTGCTAGAAAATAGCTTACATTCCTCCCCAGCCAATACTGTATGAACATCAGCCAAATCAAGCTGACCTTCCTGTCTACTTCCTGCACGCTGTGCACCACTATCACAGATATTCTTCTTTCCCTGCTCTTCAGAGCAAATCCAGGTCCGGGCTGGGCTGGAACGTGTCCTTCGATGTATATTGCATCCCACAGTTCTTCACCTTGCAGCTCACAAATAACGTGTGCTTCCCACAAGAACGGACAGTGACAGGGCAGCAGCGGGGCTGTACTGACTCTCAGACCTGCACTGCAGATGGTACAGATGTGGGTTGCTACCTAGAGCATTTGTATTGCATGTCCCATGGGGAACCATCGCTTCTGCCCTGGGCAGAAGTGACCAGAAGCACACTCTGGCCCGAAGAGCTTGCCTTCTAACAGCCAACACACTCCAGGCAGGGCTAAGGGAAGGAGTGTGCATGTTTTCCATGAGAGATACCAGAGCAGAAACAGCCTGAATGTCCCAGCTGGGCTGAACTAGAGACAAAACCTGAATTTCTCAATTCACGATGCAAGGTAGTAACATCAAAAACAGTTTTCCTCACCCTCCCTGAAGAAAAGGATCTATTATAGCACCTACACTTCAAACTACTATATATTTTGTGTGCTTTCTGTTCAGTAATTAGTATTCAGCCATGGACACAATCTGTTTCATGTTCTGGATTCTGCCAATGGAGGCAGGAACCTTCAGCTAAGCCCTAACCTCCAGGCTTACTTTCTACGCATTAAGTCAAGCTATTGTCACAATGCACTTCAGTCTTAACATTGTTGTGTACCACTGCAACTTAAGACAGACCTTCAGTACCCCTTAGGTAACCTGGGCTCTCAGGCATTAATTTATTATATTCTGTTGTGATAATGTTCACTAATCATTTCATAACAACATAGGAGAGCTGTCACCAAAGCTCATTCAAAAAGAATACGAAAAGGTTTATAATGGAAATGTTTACTCACTAAGTTCTTACCTATGCAAAGCAAAGAGATTTCAGAGAAAAGCATACACAAGAACTCTCTTCTTGGGATCTTTATCTTCTCCTATCACTGTACCTGGATTGGGTCTGT